ATTATGTTAGTGAAGAATGGGTGGTTGAAAATGAGGAGAAGAACGAGAATGAAAATTTTAATATGGCTCAAACAGGGGCTAAGTTTTATTTTCAAGAATCAGGTGTTAAATAGAATTATTAATGGTAATTAATAAATCATTCATCCCCAAACCGCTACTTATTTCCACTCTCTCTCTTCCGTCACCAACCTTTGTAAGCGGCGGTTCCGCTACTCCAACCAACCAAATACCACCGTACATGACCACATCATCTCCGTCCCCTTCCTCCTCCTCATCGATTGTTATAGTAATCATTATAGTCGCCTCTGCCATCATTGTCTCGGCCCCGATTTACCTTCTTCTTCGTTTAATTTCAAAGCGCTTCCACCGCTCATTCCACACCTTTGCCGCTGCAGACGATGTTGTTCTACGCCATCACTCAAATCCGAACTTGAATCAATGCCATGTGGTGTCGAGCAATCTGCTCGATTCTCTTCCTCTCTTCACGTTCGGCTCCATCACTGGAAACCTTACCGGCGATGATTCTGCGGTGTGTTTGTCGAAGTTTGAGCCGCATGATCAGCTCCGTTTGTTGCCGTTATGCTGTCACGCGTTCCACGCCGGGTGCATTGATACGTGGCTCGTGTCTAATCAAACTTGTCCTCTTTGCCGATCGTCCGTGCTACCTTCCGACTCGGAAGTACTGGATAAAATCCTATTGGTTGAGACTGGCGTTGGTAATAATACTGACAGGAACTTTTAAACTTTCTAAATTTCTATTTTTTTTTATCTACATAATGTGAGGAATAGCGTACTCGAACAAATTTATTAATAATGAAATCCCCGTTTTTCTTGGAATTCAAAATCACCCATCTATGAGATTACCTTAATAACTATCATACTTGAAATATCTCCAAACAAATCAATCATCCTCCATATCTCCTTAACTTATTGAAGGAGGTGAGTTCACAATTACTCAAGAATTTCCTCCCAACTTCAATTAATTGTAAAATTCAAAATTTAAAGCACAAAAACATTAAAAAAATCAATTGCAATAAATGAAGAAGTTTGGATCCTAGCAATTTATTTGTTCAAAAACTGTCCATCAGCAAAAGACTTGATTGAAAAAAATATGTAAAGAATTGAAAAAGTAAAATTACAGAAAAGGAAAAAAGAAAATCTTGTGCAATATTATCTAATAAGAAATGCATATGATATTTTAACCGGTCACTTCTCTCCCTTGGTGGCGGTCGACAACTTATTTTGGTGGGTTGACATAAATGAGATGGATAGTTGTTTTTGGGGTTAACGGGACATTTGATTTGTTTTTAGTTTTGTAAAACACTTAAAATTTGTTTGATTTGGTATTCTTGAAAATACATTTATGAAAACAATCGAAACTTGACTTGACTCAATGTGTTTCTCTCGTGCAACTTGTTAATAATTGATTAGGCGAGAAAAATCGACACAGATCGACCCTACAATTTGGGTCAATAATTTTCGTATGTCTAAATGCCCAGCCCTAACTGTCGAAATATTCTTCTTCCTTGAAACTAAAATCGCATTTTTGAGTGAGCTAACATTTATTATTGGGCTAAATATAAGACCTTTTGGGGTGGGCTAAATATTTTTCCCGTCATTTTTGGGCCAATTTCAAAGTAAAAGAATTGATTTTCTATTGGTTAGCATGGATTGGAGATTTGGAATTGTATGATGAAATATCACAAGATTCCACAATTAAAGAGATGGTCCTGACTAAGGCCACTTCCGCCATGTAAAGATCAGTCTTGCAAAAATCAATTCGACCTTATTCGAGAGTCGTAACTCATTCCAAGTCATACGATTGACCACAATTAAACAACTAAGGTGTAATTGGATTACAGTAAAGTATTGTTTGAAAAAAAAATTGATAAAAATTTTAACAGCTTTGAACCATATTTGCATTTATAATTGAGTTATGCTACACTTACCGAATTTTAACCCACTCATAAGACATGTTATTTAGAGGTACCGTTGCATAGGGAGCTCAAAGAAGCCACGTTTCTCCCAAGATCATACTTATTATTCTAATACCTCGACTCTCTTTTCATATCAAGCGTTTCGGGATATCTGATGAGATTCTTATGTAATTCACTTACTAAACATGTTATTTAGAAATAGACTTGGGGTGGGATTAGGAGGTCAAAGTAGCCACATCACTCCCAACAAATATACATAGTTCCTAAACATTTTGCAAATTTTAACAAGAAGATGGAGAGTGTTATCTTGTTGCATTCATCCAGATTCCCATAAACAAATTACTTTTATCTAATCATAGATATACAATAAATATATTGAAAAAGAAATTAAAAATGAACTCAAAATTATTATTATTTTTGTTTTGATTCAAGTTAGTAGCAAAGAGGGACGAGATTCATAATCAAGTTTCAAAAAACCAATTGTAAAAAAATATATATGATTTACTCAAAAAAATCATTGGTCAAAAAAATAAATGAATAATTAGCATTTTGTAAACGAATTTTTACTTATTTATTGTCAAGCAGAGAAATTCAAGTGGAATGACTATGAAAGAGGAAACATGTTTCGAAATGGAAAACAAAATGTGTAAAATGGGTTGGACGGAGGAATTTCTCCATGCCTCCATCCTCGAACGGAGGCATGGAGAAATTCCTCCGTCCAAGGAATATCTCCATGTGGACGGAGGAATTTCTCCATGCCTCCGTCCAAGGACGGAGGTATGGAGAAATTCCTCCTTCCACATGTCCTAAAATAGTTTTAAGAGAAGAAGTGAAAGAATATGTCCACGTCTTCAGTCACCTTCGTCTGAAGATGTGCATATAATTAGTTTTTCATTATCTTTTTTCCCTTATATTTTCCAAACAGTTTAATTATTTCAACAACTAGAAGGAGCACATAAATCTATACAAAGTACACCCATGGAAGTTAAATAGTAATTTATTTTAATGTATTCTTGATGATTTCCTTTTTTGTTATCTTTGTGTTACATTATCAGAGGAATGAAGAACTGTATTGAGTAAATGCATGAAGGTGAGTGAAGACATGGAAGATAGAATAAGCAACCTGCCAATTGAGATTATTGATCTTATTTTAGATTACATGCCGGTTCGAGATGCTGCAAGGGCGAGTATCTTGTCTAGGAAATGGAGGTATATTTGGCCTATGCATCCAAAACTGATTTTTGATGAGCACTCTTTTAGAGTCATTAGGCATGGCAGTTTAATTATGCCAGATAACAATATTGATAAGATAATCAACATAATTCTGTTACAACACATGGGACCTGTAGTTAAGTTTCTCCTGGATCTTTCATATATAAATTCAGCACAATACTCGGATGTGGATCAATGGTTGTTTTTTCTGTCAAGAAATTGTCTAGAAAAACTTTCCCTCATGTATTCCAAGCCAAAAGCCAAACCTTAAAAATGTATTTGAACCGATAATTATTTGAACCGATAATTGTGTGAATCATTTAATCGCTTTTCAACGTGTCTCGACAAGGGAGATATGAGGATAAAAGAGACGCAAAATCTTACACCACAATTTTCTTCAAAAATTCACTTGCAATCCATCCAACTCAAGTCATCCCTACAATTCGAACACCCCGAACCTACTCAACACCTCTGTAATTCGCTAAAAATGTGCGTTGCTAGACCTTTCAAGTTCCAAAATTCAATCTTTATTGCCCTGCAGTATCTTTTAAAAAAAAGTCGCGTCTACATTGTACAGATCTTTGAGCTCTTCTACAACTCTTTTTTTCGTATTTTTCCCAACCGTGTTGCTCTCTGTCGACCCATGAACGGATTCAGGGTAATTTCTATTTTTTATTTATTTTCTTTCATTTTCTATATTTTGTGCCTTTTTTATAGTTAAAAAAAAATGAATATGCTAACATTCCAAATAAATGATCACTCCCAAATTATGCTAACATTCCAAATAAATGAATAATTAGCACACCACTTTTCATTTCCAACCAAGAACAGACAAGCCAAGTTACTTTCTCACACAGCAATATGAAAATTAGTTCATGCTATAAGCAAATAAAATGTTGGAGACCAAAGGTACAACTTCCCAGTAACAAAAGATAATTAACCCAGTAAAACAGGAACAAAAAGTTCATGTGCTAATCCGTTTCTTCTTCCGCAAATTGTAGGCCTTTATTGGTGAGCTAAAATCTGTTTTTGGCATTCCAGTTGATGTGTAGATATCATCGTTTTCATAATAATAGCCTCTCTTATTATTCCAGATCTTACACACAACCCAATCATCAACCTACAAGAAAAAATTCCAGAAATTTTAAGAGCAAAAGTAGCAAAAATTAACATTGTATTTGATGTGCAAGAATTAGAGTATAGACGAAATTCTCGTTACTGGAGAAGCAAAGTAGCCCCTTATAATTCATTCTATCTACAAAGATTATCTAAAACAGCTAAAACTTATACGTTATAATATATTGTACCTTGGTTCGACCTTCAACGTTGTATTGCGGGGGCAGAGGATCAATCGCCCTAAATTCATGCATAATCCAAGAGGTCTTTTTACTGCTACCAGGTTTCCCCTTGTAGAATTGAAAAATCGTTTTTAATCCAACAGTTTCCCCATTATATTCCACATTTATATCATCTCCTTTTACTTTTTGCCAATATCCATCAACTGTAGATACATTTATATTCTCATTTTGGTAGTTTCTATCCCTTAATGTAAACAAGTACCAAATTTCAGTTGGAAGCTTCCCGTAAATATCTGGAAATCAAATAAAATAAATTTAAAATCAAAGAAAAAATTATCTTCCGACTTTCGAGATAGATATATGAATTGCACCAGAAAAATACCACAGACAGACTGCTTTATAAGATAAATTTATCTAAGAAACAATAAGCATAAAAGGATTTCACCTGCAAGTCTCTCTGGGTCGATCTCGTATATATTACCCATTTTAATCAGATTGCGAGGAAGCTTCTCGTTCTTGATTTTTTTTATCAAGAGATCTACAATAATTCGAGCATCTTTGGGATGGAAAATCATACCAGGTTTCAATCTCGCAGCGTATTCATCATCAGTCAGTTTTTCATTCACGTAATCCCAAAGTCGACAACGGTTCTTGAACATGCTTTCGCTCTCCATTGAAAAATTCTAAATCTCGGAAGGTAAGGGGAATCGGAAAACTGAGAAACTCTAGGGCATTAAGTAGTGGGGTGCTGCCGGACGGGTGGGCAAAATTAATTGGAACAAATTGAACCAAAATGGGCTAGCCAGCTTGGTCTGGTTAAAAGAAAATATTGCAATTTCCGGTTGTTACAACCATGAACCGGACTGGTTCAGTCTTCTCGCCTTTTCTTTTGTAACTGAAACAGTTCAATCCTCTGCAACCCTAAATCATGAAGAAAAGTCGGAATAATTACCTTTTCTCTCGCTTGGTCTCTCCATCTTGGCGGCCAAGGTTCTATTCTCTTTCAATTTCTCTTTTTTGACAAGAGAATGCATAACTTTGGCCCAAATATATGTTTTTAGCCCAGTTCTAATTTGAATTTCAAACTAAGCCCAATGCTCAATATTCAAATTTTATCAAAGACTCTCAGGCTCTCTTCACCTCTCAAAGTTGTTCTCGTTATTTCTTGAATTAGTGTATTATTTACTGTTAATCTTCAATTATTGTGTATATAGTTTTGTTTCGATTTTATGAAAGTATTAGAACGAAATTTTATTTTATTTTTTCTTTTTCTGGTGTTACAGGAAATGCTCTAAACCCTGGCTCGATTTTTTCGNTGTTACAGGAAATGCTCTAAACCCTGGCTCGATTTTTTCGAGTTAAGATCAGCCAATAGTATTATATTTCTCGATTTACAGGTGAAATTTATCTGTTTCATTCATTGTCTATTCCAGTTAGGGCATGTTTGATTCATCCAAATTTTCTATGGAAAATAGAAAATAAATTCTAACTTCCACTTGGCCTTGTTTGATACAGTATATTTTCCATGTAATTTATTTTCATGGTTTGGCTCACGCGGTTATATTTTTCCATATGTT